AAAAAAAACAAATTTTAAAACTCATACTGTTACGGTAAAAAACCAACACAAATGCCCTTGGTGAAGGTGGACCCTTCTACAGATAGAGTAGTTCTACTCGGTGTTATTACACCCCAGTGCAAACATTAGTAGTAAATATTAGCAGTCATTACACAGTACTACATAATTAATCAGAGAACGAAATCATTTCTGAAGCACGAAGACATTTTCACTGTATGCAACACACACAAGTTTACTCTCGAGGGAAATACAGTCCCTAAAGGCCTAAACCAAAATTTAACTACTTGGAGCAGATGATAAAGTAATTTGTTAGAAAGGTTTTGTGGAAATTCACTAGAAACTGCAACAAAAGCCACAATATATGGAATTTCAGATTGAATCATAACCTTCACCTCAGGTTTAGTTTTAATTAGAATGTTTATCAAGGCTCAACTTGGGAGAAACAGGTACAACTCGCGAGCCTCAAACACATATTACATTATCAAAAGCTCTATGGCCACCAAAACGTAAGGGACCGACCGACACTGAGAAGAATGGCAATAAGGCCTTTTCAAGAAAACGCAACATTTATTGAAATAGTCCGAAAGCGAGAAATGATTGCGCACCAAGTCCCATAGAGAGATCATTTGCAAATGGGTGCCTTTTCAAGAGAAATGCCTTCTTCTAAAAGCAGCCTTTCTCGATTGAGTATCTTTAAGCATAACGACAATTAACCGACAATATAATCAATTCATAGTTCCACAAAAGTGAGAAAAACCACACGAAATGATCAACATTTTTAAGCTAGAGGCTCGTCAATTCAACAAAGACACCAAAAAGACATCAATAGTACAAAACCGTCGTCATCAATTGGCCTATAATGGCCATAGTTCAACAAAATTGAAACCTAAAGAAGTTCCCAAGAACCAGCAAGCAATTGCATGCAAATAACCAAAAATCGATAAGCTAAGTCATTTGTATAAATGTATGTACGATCACAAAGTGGACTAAATGCACCTGTCGCATCTAAAATCCACCACTTTCTCGATTGAGTATCTTTAACCGTAAAGACAAATAATCATGCCACCGAGTAAAGGTGACACAAGTCATACGAAATGATCAACCTTTTTAAGCTAGTGGCTCATCAAGTCAACAAAAAGACTTGAAAAAGCATCAATAATAAACACAACCATCATCATCAATTGACTTGCAATTGCCATAGTTCACCAAAATTGAGGCCTAGAAGAAGTTCCCAGTAACAAACAAGCAATTTCATGCAAATAACCAAAATTCATAAGCTAAATCATGTGTAAAACCATATATAACAATCAAGAGAAATGCACTTAAAGCACCAATCACATCCGAAATCCACCACTTTTATTTCATGAAAACATTGTACCGTTTCATGTTAACCTACAAACACTGAGAGAAACTCAACAGAGCCAAAACAACCCATTTCAATTCTAAGGAAGAAAAAAGAAAAGCTCAACGAAGAGAAAAACAGTAGAGCAAAGAAACTCATACACTCTCAAATGGCCTTGAGCATATCCTCAGCACTGCTAACGTTAAAAGCTCCTCCTTCTTCCAGATTCAGGATCTTCACGACCCCATCCTCGACGTACATGGCGTACCTCCTCGATCGAACCCCCAAACCCACCGGCTTATCGCTCAAATCAAGCTCGCAACCAATCGCGCGGGTGAAATCTCCATTGCCGTCGCTCAGCAGCATGACCTCGTCCCCGATCTTCAGATCCTGCTTCCACGCCTTCATCACGAAGGCGTCGTTCACGGAAACGCAAGCGATGGCGTCGATCCCCTTCGCCTTGAGCTCGGCGGCCATCTCCACGAACCCCGGGAGATGCTTCTGCGAGCAGGTAGGGGTGAAGGCGCCTGGGACAGCGAAGATGATGGTCCGTTTGCCGGCGGTGAGGTCGGAGACGGAGACGGTCTGGAGCTCGTCGGAGGCGTCGAAGTAGGAGAGGGTGGAGTCGGGGAGCTTGTCTCCGACTGATATTGCAGCGGATATTTTGGTGGCGGTGGAGTATTTGAGCGGCTGCGGGAGGCGGCGTGCAAGGAGAGGGGTTAGGGATGAGGTGGATGAGGAGAAGGAGAGGGGTTTTTTGAGAGGGGAAAGGAGAGAGGAAAGCTGCCGGAGTTTGGGGGATGAGGAGGCGACGGACCTCGTGACGGCGAACGTGGCTGCTGTTGCGGTGGCGGCCGCCATTGATGTGTGTGTAAGTGTGTGTGAAAATGCAGAAGGAAATTGTAAACAAGTGTGTGTATGTGTAGCGTGGGATTGAGGTTTTTGGATAAAATTTGGGATTAATTTATTTTTATTTTATTTTTTAATATTATTATTTGGGCGGATTTAACTATAGTGAGCCACGTTTGTTTGATATCTGCATTGAGAAAAAATGATGATACTATGGGTCACAAGTGTGACACTAGATTTTAATTGTGAATCGTTATTTATGGCCCCTATTACTAGTCACCGCCCTAATTATGAAAATACCCTTTACTTCTTTTCTCTCTACTCTCTAATCTATCTATCTCTCTAAAACTGAATCTTCAACGAGCCATACGAGCGTAAAAAAAATTTCAAAAAAATGTCGAAAAAATCCTACGATCTCGGCAAAGTGTTCTTCTCTAAGAAGGTAATTTTTTTTTATAATTTAAATTATTTTTAAAATTATTTTTAAAATTCTGGACCCGCGTTTGGGGCGGGCCGTGCGACAGTGAATCCCGTACGGCCCGTGGGGCGACCGGTCTGCTTTACCGGTCGCCAAGTAAACCATGCTGCCGGACCGGGCCGCACGATCGGCTGTGCCGCCGTCTTCGGAGGCCGGACGTACAGTGACAGAAACGGCCCCTCCGGCCGGTCACGAACCGGCCGGACATTTTTTTTAAATTATATTATAATTAAATAATAAAAATAATTATACTAATAAATATTAATAAAGATTATAATATAAAACTAATAAAAAAAACGTAAAAAAAAATTATAATAATAATATTTATGAAATAAAAGAAAAAAATATTACATTAATAAAGAAAAAAATATTATAATATATTTATTTGAATATTAAAAACTAAAAATATTAGAATAATAATAAATATAATAATAATTATAATATAAAAGAAATAAATATGACATTAATGAAGTAAAAATATTATAATATATTTATTTAAATATTATAAAATTAAAATATTAGCATTTAAATAATAATAATTATAATATAAAAAAATAAATATAAAATAAACTGGTTAGGTTATAAAATTAATATATTAGCATTTAAAAACATATATGTAATAGTTTAAAAAATATGTATATAATTTATTATAAATATGTATAAAAACATATATATAATAATGTTATTATATAAATGAATATATGTAATTATCGTATTAAATTAAAAAAATATTTACTAATTATTACTTTAAATTGTTCATTTATGGTATTCGTATACCTGAACTAGCTGACCGTGACGACCCGGCCGACAATATTATTCACGGTTCTGGAACCCGACACGTTGTAAGTCGGGGTATAAATGCGTCTCGTCGCCGCACTCGGGAGGAGGCGATCAAAGAGGCTCGTATGTTACAAACTGGTCAGGTTGGCCAGTCCGGCAGTTCGAGACTCCACGCACCAGCCGTACCGATTGGTCAGCAAGGGTATGGCCAGACAGGCAGTTCCAGAGTCCACGTCCCAGACCATTACTGTACGATCATGATCAGCAGAGATATTATTATGCTGGCCAGCCAGGCAGTTCGATACCTCGTGCACCAGCACCGTACGGTCAGCAGGTATATTATGTTGATGAGTCGGTAGCCCAGACGGAGCAGTCTTCTGACGAGTCCCCATCATATGACAATGCGTACGATATTTCTTCTCCTGGACTCCCACCGCAGCATACACCTCATGCTCAACATACACCTCCTGCACATCATGCGTCTCCTGCACAGCCTGCGGCTCCTGTTCGGCCTGCTATTCCACGACAGGTTGGTGGGCGTTTTGCTAGCACTGGATCCTCAGGTAAATAATTTAAGTATTTTTATTTCGTTTGACATTAATATTTTGACTTAATCGCAACAAATAATTAGTATTGTTTGTGACATTATTTCAATTATGTATTTATATATTTGTCTGTTCTATTCTAATGTAGGTACTAGCAAACGATCTAGGACTGATGATGGGCAGACTGGATCGTTAGAGGTCCAGTTCCCGGTGGGCCCATGGATGGGAGTGTGTTTCCTAGCTTTCTAGGGCACGTAGCCTCCTGAATGTGGAATGGACAGATACGAGACTTACTGAGATGCCAGAACAGACAGCGAGCTGTGGAAAATCTGAAAGTTTGGCGAGCTGAAATGTCTGCCGAGGCACTTGATCTGATTAGACAGACCGGGCTGTCACATCTGGCAGACTCCATGCACGTCCATTTGGACACTCCACTGATTACTGCATTTGTGGAGCGATGGCAGCCTGATACTAACTCGTTTCACCTGCCTTTGGTGAGATGAGAATTATGTTGCACGATGTCCGGGCCATTTTGGACATTCCTGTTGAGGGAACTGTGGTCGTTGAGGACCCGGATTCAGAGGCATGACAGGCTTACTGCATGGAGTTACTTTCGGTCACGAAGCCCGACCTAATTGCGTCATTGTGGCAGCGTGGTTCGGTGGCTGAAGCCTCTGTTGGGAAGATATTCACGGGTAAAAATAAGTTGGCTTCAGATGAGGCCGGTGTCTGGATTTGGGTGTTGCTGGCTACCACGTTGTTCGTGGACAAGAGTGGTAGTAGAGTGAGTCCGAAGCTCCTACTTGAGGTGCTCGACGACTTAGATGCCAGTGGAGGTTACTCCTGGGGGTCGGCTACGCTGGCATATTTATACCGACAGTTAGGTATTGCCAGCAGAGGGGACTTCAAACAACTTTCCAGCTGCTTGACTCTTCTGCAGTCTTGGATTTACGAGTATTTCCCTGATTTTCGACCCCAGGAGGGGCGTTTACCCCTCGGACCTAACGAGTCCGCACGAGCTCGGATGTGGAACGCAGGGGTGGGTCATAGGTCAGAGGACCGTCTCATGTCTATCCGTCGGAAGCTGGACAGACTCACTGCCTCCAGTGTACGTTAAGTTATTTTATTTAGTTACTCGTTATTTAAAATAATATAAATATTCTTATAAATGCTTTTATGCCATTGTGAACAGGTGCAATAGACGCCATACAGCAGCTCCTGGCCAGATGAGATAGAGCAGAGGACTCTTTATTGCGGACTGATTCGGTACCGCGATGTTGTCGAGCCGTACTATCCTGTACAGTTTCTGCGGCAGTTGGGGTATGTCCAGACCATCCCTCCCCATATACAGACGCCGACCGCTGTAAACCGTGCTTGGCAAGTAGTATAGATGATTAATTAGAATTTTATACATGATTAATTATAATTTTATAATCATGAATGATTAACTAACAATTATTATAATCATGAAAGAAAAATGTTTGATCCATTACTTATAATTACCGTGGTTGGCAGTCGAGGCTCTACAAAGTTGAGCATCCTGATGTCGGCGCAGTAAATATGTGGAACCAGTTCCCGATGTCGCAGACTGTCAACACCAGCATGTGTAGGGTCGCCACAGATGATCGAGGGGAGGCGGATGTGGAGTACTTGTTGTGGTACCGTCGGGTTTCCCATCCTACTGTCTTGGGTGAGAATCTGCCTGACGAGAGCGAGGTCCCTACGCGTGGGAACACCGACTATGTAAGTTGTTCGCAAACTTTTAATTAATAATGTTTGATTAGAATAAATTTTATTTTAATAAATAATGAGCATATATTTTTATTCTTCAATTTTTTTTGTAGTGGATGGACCGTGCTTTCAGCCTTACCTCGAGGACTCTGTGGGGTTTAACAGCTCATGATCCTCTGCAGGCGGTGCAGTTATCAGACGAATTGGCTAAGCTTAGGTTGGATTACGCCAATTCTAAATAAATGTGTAATGATTTTTTTTTAATTTTAATTTTAAGACATTATGCGGATTGATGTGCGTTATTTATTTTTATTAGACTACATTCGAACTCAAATGTTCCATAAAAATAATGTGTGACTCGCGAGAAAAACAGAGACCCTTGTGGGTTAAGTCGCTACTCGCGACATCCTCTTTTTTTTAATAATGAAAGCATATAATGAAAAAATATAATCATGTAAAAGTTCCCAACAACATAAAACCGAACACCGAATAGAAGAAAACATTTCACACATCAGGGGTTATTTTGAGCATCAAACCATAATTGCAACCTAGGCTGGTACTGATTCTCCCAATTCTCAACCGAAGCAGTTCGGTTACTGAACCACATACTATGAATAGGCGGTAATGGACAATCTGGAGTCAAATCTAACCGAATGTAGTGTGCGTAGCTACCAAGATGACATATGCAAATCTCACGGCGTGGCCCTGTGCTCGTTGATGCTACAGCAAGCGGCAATACTGTGCAACTGAACTGGTTGGACATACGACCATCGCGACCAGAGCTTAAAAGAACGACAACCACATTAAATAGGGTTGCAACAGGATAGAGGTCGGATGGAGTGTCCATCTGGTGACCCTGACCACAAGCGCCCCCGTCCCACCTTATAAAATTAAGATATTAGCATTTGAATAATAATAATTATAATATAAAATAAAATAAATATAAAATAAAAATATTAGCAAAATAATAATAATAATAATAATAATAAAAAGCGCCCCAGTCCCACCTTATCCGACAGAGTGCCATGTCGATATCCCTGTCATAGATGTACTCGTACAAGGCTCGGTGGCTGTAAATCTCATTGGCAACGTTCTCTCGTACGAGATGCCACATCTCCTGGTCCCCGTAAATGTAACTCGCGATGACTCGCCATCCGCAGTTCCCATCTGCTTTCACATTCAAGTAGCTCACTACATAGTCCAACATATGCCAGGGAACACAGTTGCGGTACTCAAAACTAAATATATCTGTCTCGGTACCAGCTGGTTAATTTCACGTCACAATAAAATAATATAATTTTGTAAATTAACATTTCAATTAACGTTCAGTTGTATAAAAAATAAATGTTGCCTTGGTGTGCCTCTTGTGACGGTTGAGAAGATTGGCTGGTTGTCGGTCCATGCGATGAAGTGCGTCTACGCGAAGAAGTGCGACCACGCGAAGAAGTGCGTCCACGCGAAGAATTGCTTGTACGACC